GATAATAATTTACCGTCGTTTAGAAGATAAAACATGTGGATGAGTGCATTATAAAGATATTTCTGTTTTGTTTTATTACTTTATTTCATCAGCATATAAATGACAGGTGGTTTTGATGTAGTTTTTTCTAATATATTAGTTTTTATTGACTTGTTATAGTATCTACTACGGAAACGAATATACTATTGAGTGTTTTGAGCGCTGTATCCTGTTAATAAACGTTTCAATCATCTACTTGCTATAAGTGAATGTAAGGTAGCCATATCGAACTACTTGTGTTTTCATCATTTCTTTATATTAACTCAATATTGAAATCGAATAAGAACACACAGTTCTGTCCACACGGTCAGATTAATTAGATCAGGTCTATCTGATATGGTTTATCAGACCTGTCATCAGACAATTTGCTGCGACAAACTGGCGCCGGTAAATTTTGATGATTTGCAAACCTTCCAATGACAATAAAAGCGAATCTCACAAACCTAGACATATTACTTATCGTAATGTAAAATTAAGTACGCATGTTACAAATATGGTTGGTGTGCGATATTATGCTAATTATAAAGTGTATTGTTTCCAAATATGGGCAGACATACTATTTGAGTCACACTGCAAGAAGCAGTATATGATAAAATTGAGAAGTTTTTCGAAACGTATTTTATTTTAATGTATCAAAGTTTCAGCCAAACATGCGCGTGACTCATATTTTATAATGTTGTGTAGCCAACAGTACGATCAGTTCACCTTTCCTGTGCAGCTGCAGAAAACAATGTAGACGTACTATGTTAGGGTGTGCACTGCATATTGTACATCATGTACATACATGTACTTACACTGGAGAGGGCAACATCTGTTTTTCAATGTCAATTGCCCTGAGGCTATATTGTTGGTATATAAATAAATAGCGATTTCAAATCACATTCAGGTAAGGAGAGCTATTCGAAAATTAAAAATGCAAGAAAAAATATACATGTAGTTTTTTCGGAAAGTCAGGTTGATAAATTATTGCCTGAAAACAGACATAACGATCACGAGTTTTGCTACCCATATACATTGACTGTATTATGTATTGATATGTAAACGTTACCACTGAGTTGGCACTGCATCATTCAGCCGCCGCTGATTAGATTAATTTGACCAGGAAACTGAATAACACTGGACAATTGGAATTGATTTGGTATTGTTCATGGTAGTCAGCGTGTTTCTGTTTATTTGTCCCTATATTCTGATTCCAGTGTATATGAAATTTGTATTCTGAGTATGTTTGTCAAGTTCAGTAACATATCCCTGCAGAGCCTTTTTTTCTAATTGAATTTTCATACATATATTAATCTCGGGTTTATTCATTGATTTGATTCTGGTGAACTCTTTAGAAATATTCGAAGCTCTGCCGAAGCTCAAAGAAAGACCTCGCTGTAGGTTGTAATAATAACATTGAATTTCATGCATGTATGCCACTATGAAGTACATGGTTTCTTGTTTCATTTGGGCTGATCCTCGCTCAATGCTATTCATCATCAAGTTATAAGTTCTATAGTTTTGCAGGCATTAATGACGATCTTTGAGTAAATTAATAAGAAGGTGCGTTGTATATATATATTAATAAACTTTACAATTACAACATTCGATCCAGAGAATAGTATTGTGTTTTATTGTGTTATGCTTTAGCAAAACAAACTGTAGCACACTTCTCTCGCTACAAGTTAAACGACATCCTGTGTTTCCTGTGTTCGTCACTTGGCACGAAACTTAAAAACAACAACAAATTAATCAAGGTAGAATGCAGATACAAAGAGGTCATGTTTGCTTTGTCCTTACGTGTTAGAACGCATGTGGCCAATTGTGTCTTGGTATTTCTTCTTGTACACCGGAAGTAACATACTAACAAAATATGTCCATTAAATGTAGGCACATGAGGAATACAAAAAGTGTCACCATGTTCTTGTATAATTATTCAGGTCCTCGGGATGCATCACTGATATTCAGCAGTGTGAAATGAAAACCATTTATATGTTCACGTACAAATAACGAACTACGCAGGTGTACGATTTGAAAACAATATGTAATTACATTTTTTCCCGAGAAGAAACAAACAGAGAAACGTTCTGCAGCAGCACGCGTATATTTTGTTTCAGGGAAGCGTAACAGTTCTACTTCTTGGATGCATACATCTGCGTTAACGCGACCCACATTGTTTCTAATGGAAACCAAATTGGAAATTTAAATGCTTAATTCATCGATAGTTTGATATAATGGTTATTGATTACTCGTTATTGTCTCACTGTCTGTGATACACAGTGATGTAAACAGAACAAACACATTATGATATTTATCTTTTAGAATAAACCTTATCAACTGTATCACCTAGTATGTCGAGCACGCTAATGTGTACATTTCCATTAGAACTAGACAATATACGATTACTGTATTTAAGACATGTCAATGTTGCAAACTGCACAAACGAAGACTTCGTAGTGGATGAAGATATCTATGCTGCAAACTACAAAGATGTCACAGTGAACAAATGGTGACGCCAACGTTGGTTTAAAATTTTTGCCAACTTTTACAACAGTGGAAACACTAAGCAAAACTGCATCGAATCGTTCTCAATACATTCTTGGTAAAGTTAGATAGATCTAACGCGAGTTATGGGTTCAGAATAAAAATTACATCAGTTAATTCAACTATTTGATTTTAAAGTTATCACCTGAATTTCATTTTTAGGAATCTGATTGCTTATTCACGGTTTGTTCATAGCCTATTTCATTGTGCATTTTTCTTATTTATAGCATACAATTGGTGAGAACAATTCAGTAAGACACAGGCACGTATACAACTATGATGGTGTCTGTACTTACGAGGTAGGTATACAACTATGATGGTGTCTATACTTACGAGGTAGGTATACAACTATGAAGGTGTCTATACTTACGAGGTAGGTATACAACTATGATGGTGTCTATACTTACGAGGTAGGTATACAACTATGAAGGTGTCCATACTTACGAGGTAGGTATACAACTATGATGGTGTCTGTACTTATGAGGTATATACAACTATGATGTTGTCTGTACTTACGAGGTAGGTATACAACTATGATGGTGTCTGTACTTACGAGGTAGGTATACAACTATAATGGTGTCTGTACTTACGAGGTAGGTATACAACTATGATGGTGTCTGTACTTACGAGGTAGGTATACAACTATGATGTTGTCTGTACTTATGAGGTATATACAACTATAATGGTGTCTGTACTTACGAGGTAGGTATACAACTATGATGGTGTCTATACGTGCGAGGTAGGTATACAACTATGATGGTGTCTATACTTACGAGGTAGGTATACGACAATGATGGTGTCTATACTTACGAGGTAGGTATACAACTATGATGGTGTCTATACTTACGAGGTAGGTATATAACTATGATGGTGTCTGTACGTACGAGGTAGGTATACAACTATGATGGTGTCTATACTTACGAGGTAGGTATACAACTATGATGGTGTCTATACTTACGAGGTAGGTATACAACTATAATGGTGTCTGTACTTACGAGGTAGGTATACAACTATGATGGTGTCTGCACGTACGAGGTAGGTATACAACTATGAAGGTGTCTGCACTTACGAGGTAGGTATACAACTATGATGGTGTCTATACTTACGAGGTAGGTATACAACTATGATGGTGCCTATACTTACGAGGTAGATATACAACTATAATGGTGTCTGTACTTACGAGGTAGGTATACAACTATGATGGTGTCTGCACGTACGAGGTAGGTATACAACTATGAAGGTGTCTGCACTTACGAGGTAGGTATATAACTATGATGGTGTCTATACTTACGAGGTAGGTATACAACTATGATGGTGTCTATACTTACGAGGTAGGTATACAACTATGATGGTGTCTGCACTTACGAGGTATGTATACAACTATGAAGGTGTCTATACTTACGAGGTAGGTATACAACTATGATGGTGTCTATACTTACGAGGTGGGTATACAACTATGATGGTGTCTGTACTTACGAGGTAGGTATACAACTATAATGGTGTCTGTACTTACGAGGTAGGTATACAACTATGATTGTGTCTGCACTTACGAGGTAGGTATACAACTATGATGGTGTCTGTACTTACGAGGTAGGTATACAACTATGATGGTGTCTGCACGTACGAGGTAGGTATACAACTATGAAGGTGTCTGCACTTACGAGGTAGGTATACAACTATGATGGTGTCTATACTTACGAGGTAGGTATACAACTATGATGGTGTCTATACTTACGAGGTAGGTATACAACTATAATGGTGTCTGCACGTACGAGGTAGGTATACAACTATGAAGGTGTCTGCACTTACGAGGTAGGTATACAACTATGATGGTGTCTATACTTACGAGGTAGGTATACAACTCTGATGGTGTCTGCACTTACGAGGTAGGTATACAACTATGATGGTGTCTATACTTACGAGGTGGGTATACAACTATGATGGTGTCTGTACTTACGAGGTAGGTATACAACTATAATGGTGTCTGTACTTACGAGGTAGGTATACAACTATGAAGGTGTCTATACTTACGAGGTAGGTATACAACTATGATGGTGTCTATACTTACGAGGTAGGTGTACAGCTATGATGGTGTCTATACTTACGAGGTAGGTATACAACAATGATGGTGTCTATACTTACGAGGTAGGTATACAACTATGATGGTGTCTATACTTACGAGGTAGGTATATAACTATGATGGTGTCTGTACGTACGAGGTAGGTATACAACTATAATGGTGTCAGTACAAACGAGGTAGGTATACAACTATGATGGTGTCTGTACTTACGAGGTAGGTATACAACTATGATGGTTTCTATACTTACGAGGTAGGTATACAACTATGATGGTGTCTGTACTTACGAGGTAGGTATACAACTATGATGGTGTCTATACTTACGAGGTAGGTATACAACTATGATGGTGTCTGTACTTACGGGGTACTCCAAAAAAATCCCATGCCTCTTCTTCTGTTGTTACATGATTGACTTTCTCTTTCAAGATCTCGTTCTGCAAAATGATCATTCAAAAATACAATCTAAACATACACAGGACATAAATATAACGTAGGTTGTGTGGTTTAATGTGTGTGACGTTAAATTGGATTCCAACTTTGTAGTATATGCATAATACATCACACTGATCTATATTCACTTGGGAGATTGTGAAATGTGTTACCCTGGCAACAATTCTTGAAATATTAGAGCAATGGGCATATCTAACCACCAAATCAAACATAAAGCGTTCGTTCTTATTTATTTTTCTGCGTCCTACATTCTTGGTCGTTTTCAAAAAAATATTTGCTTTTTAGCGTTCATGATAGAGTCAATATTAGGATGAGAATTAGCATTGGTACTTTCTAGTTAACTGATTGCAAACTCTAAAATGACCAGTGCTTAAGCCAAATTCGCCTTCCATTCACCCTTCAACATTTTTGGAGTAATTCGCTATTTCCTGTAACATGTTTTGCTGTTACATATCCATGAACATATCACCTTCCTGTATGTGTATACAATGTTGTGTTCTTTGGTTGAAAACGGAAAGGTTTTAGGGAGTTATGCACTAATGGCTTGATTGTTCATGTTATTATAATGCAGACACTGATATTGTTTGCTTAATCGAACTTCGAACACGCGCTGCGCGAGGATCACCACTCTTTAACTGAATAGCCGCGATACCAATTTCCGCTCATGTAAAACCAGTTCTATTAAAAAAAAAAACATGTTCATATTGCACATGCTAAACAAGGGAAGGTTTACATAAAAAAAGCTCATGATACTGCTAAACAACACCGCTTTTACTAGCTTACTGTAATTCACTGAGCTACGTACAGTGATGTGTAGGTGTGACTGATACATGAGTAGTAACTACGCCGTAATTTGCAATCATGTGAAAAACTCGCCTATTTCCTGTAGGTGCTTTGTTTGACGTGTTACATATTTTTTCTGAATTCAATTTTGTTAATGTCGATTTCTCGCGTACTGTACACACCTTTTATGACGTCGGAGGTTTTCTGCGGATCACATAAAATGGAGATGCAAGTTTATAGAGCTTTCTGGAACCCACTAATCTGGTACTTTATTCGCTAGACATCGATTAGTGACAATTACTTAAATTACGTCACTTCTTGTTTCCAGTTTAGCATTTATTTGCCCGAAATAACATGCCACGTGTATGAGGTTTACATGCCGTATAATTAGAACACTTGACAAGTTGCAATTCCAAATTACCAAGAAACCGCAGCTTGAAGGTAGTCAATCTGCACAAAATAACAAATTAGAATACACTTTTTATGCGGTTGGCAAAAATTACATGCGTTGTTAGTTTGACGATTACAGTTAGACCGCCTCCTTGTTTTTATAATTCCATATCTTTCACTGAAGCATTGCGCCGCTGCTGCATGGTGCCGACTATTTCTGTTATTACTTCTTGACGCTAGAAGATGTTCTAATTCAGTTTTAATTCACGTTAAACATTTGACCAGTAGTAATCAAGGTAAACTAATTACTATATAGAGTAGCCAATGTTGCAGGCCCGTAGCCAGCACTTTTGAATAGGGGGTTCGAAAACAAAAATAATATATTTGACGTAAAACGTGTGAATTTTATAATATTAAAAAAGTGTCTTTGAGCTCTGTTACAGACATTTTTATATTCTCGGTTTTAAATTCAATTGGTTTACTTTGTGTTACGTTGGTAAGTTATTTCACATAACATCATTGAACTATTTTACCATATGATTTTAGAGAAGGGGTCCTGAGCCATTCCCCACCCACAGACAAACGCACCCACACCCTAGATCCACTACGGCAAAATGTTGTACACAAAAAAGACAAGACTATACGTATCTTAGCATTATTGTCTAAGCATTTTAAGGTTGAATGCTACTCATGAGTTTTTTCGCTCTTCGCAGATGTTAGCGCACATAAAAGTGACACGATTTCATGTCGAAATCTGTCAATTATTCATTTTAGTATTAGGCAATTTTGTATTATGTAATTCTATTTCTGTACAGAGCTTCAGCCCATCGTAGAAAATGTAATGAGTAGAAAAGTGCATATCACGTTTTAAAAACAATACAACATCCATGTAAACATCCAGGTTTTAATACTACTTTGATTTTTCCGAAAGTGCACAGCCTGATGATTGTGAAATTGAGGCATGCCATTCTTGCTGACAAATTGTTTTTATTCTTTGAGTAAATATCTCTAAGAAATTTGCAGTATCTCCAAATTGTTTTTCAAACCAAACAATGCCGAAACCATATTTGAACAGGCGATTTTTATGTGGGTATCCCAAGTAAGTCTACCAGTTTTGTCTAATCGTTTAAGCATGATATAACATGTTTTGGGGTTCCAGCTATTTTTTACTTCAACTAATTTTAACCAATATGAAACGCTTAAAATAACCACAGCATAATGACAGCCTTCCACATTCATCCAACATCGCTACATTGTTAGTACAACTATTCACGCTAAGTAGATATCTGCAAAATGTTGTCTGTACCCTCTCGATTTCCGAATTTTTGTACCGCCATAAAAAATGAAATGCACTAACCAATGGCATACCATATATGTTTCTTACAGTATGTAAATGTTTTGGTTCATTGTAAATCTGTTTTAGAGGGCGGTAAAATATACATATAGTGGCAGTTTAGCAGCGGTCTCAATAGACTTCAATGACTACATCTCATTTTTATGAACCCACTAAAAATATAGTAAATTTTCTAAGACATCAAAACAAAAAAACGTGTAAAAATATCTGTTTGAAAAATATGATTCGTCGCATAGTTTCAGTGCTGAAGCAACACAGTGGGGTAAATTGTTAGCTGCAAGGAGCTCTTCGACCTATACAACTCGTGATGATAAATCTTCGGCATTTTTTTAATGATCTGTTGAATCCGTAGCTATACACTATTGTCCAATAACACAGGCTACACGTACTAATACAATAAGTTGACTTCATTTGGCTGATACACTTGCAACAAAACAGTATATATGCCATCATTTAAAAATACAAAACTAATGAACCAAACTAGGAAAGTACAGTGTCGTGTTGCGTCAGTCTCGTTCGATCCCCACCGTGACACTTTACTAACTGAGCGAACACTCGCACAAGACAAACGGCCCTATTCAGGACCACCACATCATTCAGAGAATGACTATCATTACATTATTGTTTCAATGTTGTTTTAATATTTAACATCAGCTGCTGAATCTGATAGTTACCTCAATGAGTCAAGTGATTTAAACGATGGTAATTATTTTAATTAATACTGTTTGTTTATTATGTTCTAATCTACGATAATAAATCTATTCACTTCCAAAATGTAGGGGGTTCGACCGAACCCCCCGAACCTCCCCAAACTACGGGCCTGTGTTGACAGTTGTATCACATCGGCGGATTACAACTGTTTTTTACAGAAGATTACGTACTATTTTTCATGACTGTTGACCAAAAAGTTATGTTTCGGGCAAAAATATGCTAAGCTAAATTAGCTGTGTATATATTCACAATGATACATCTTACTCGTTTATCAACTTATTTTAAAAGTGTTTGTAAAAATACAGTTTTTTCTTAAATATCCAATATTTTGTATTGATTCTATACTTTGTTCTATAATATATTCAAATCACCCAGGCCTAATTACATATTTGAAACTTCTGTCATTACTGCTGTGCACAACGTGGCTTTGTCAATTCGTTAGTCCGTGCTTGATCACAAGGTTTCTTTAATGACCTTTGCACGTGCCCTCTGGATACATACCCTGTAACCATATTGGAAGCGGAGAACACAGGAGCGAACTTGTTATGTTTAATTGGAATGTCTTGTCAAGCTAGTCGATACTCAACAATTCATATATAACCTGAAGGGCATGTTTGATTTATATTGTAATTATCTGTCATGTTGGCGATAATCACGTGACAAGATTGTCAAATCAAATTTTTATAGTATTGTTAGGTTTCTTGGTGCATATGTCCCTGACAACAGTATATGATGTCACTCACTTGCATCGAAAGCACAGAAATGTTTTACAGTACAACAGAATAGAAAGCGATTCAACTAACGAGAGGAAAATCCATTAGCCTGGTTAGAAACATCAGTAGGGAATTATTTACGAACGACTGTCCATACAATCATTGGCATTACCGTCAGGGGAGTCGGTGAGGCTTTCGCTCAACTTTCGCTCACACTTACCTAATGTTTGCACAAATGTGGTCGACATTGTGGGCACACGTTTAACCGAGGAAAAAAACATTTGCGCAAACATAAAAATTTGATGATGGATTTTCTAAAATTAGTCAGGATGCTGTTAATTATTCAATTTTAATTCACTTTATAAGAGTATTTGATATGTAATCACTTAATATCGCCAACTGGGATTCTTGCAGTATATCAATGTTATGACTTCAATTGAAGCGGAACGCGGCATTTAAAAATAGCTGTTCATAACAATTAGATTTAAGTAGAAGCTTTTATTAATATATGTATTCATATACTGTGATGAGTTGCAAAGATAAGTATTATTCAGTTTTCCAGTTACAATGTGTGCCCAAATATTGTTATACTTATTTTATGTAGAGCAACGCATTTATTTATTAAACAAATACGCATGCAGCAGTTGAAATACATGAAATTGTACTACTGGGTGTATGTATTTCCTTAATTCAATATGCGAGTTTTTTTTCGTTCGAGGCGATTACCGCTAGAAATACAATTAATTTAAAAGTTAAAGTGGTTCGGAAAGACAAAAAGGGTAACACTTACCAAAAACTGTTCAATTTCGTCACTTTTGCTGAGCTTGAATGATTGAATATGTGCATACTGTTGTATAAATATAGCCGTAAAAAAGATGTATTTGGCTGGTAATAACATACTTGCTACACTAGTCTCAGTTACAGAGGTTGATGCTCGGTGCGAATCGCTAATGATCTCTGCGGAGAAAGTTGTCGTCGTTCAATCGTGACTAGCGCAACGTCCCCAGTGTTGGTTATATTTATCAGTGAACAAAACACGTGACCAGGTCGCCGTTAGAGCGCGCCATCTCTACATCGTGCGCACAACTAGATCCCCTGATAGGCTCAACACACACCTGTACTCTGACGTCAAAATCTACGTGAGGGCGATGATACTTTATAAATTATCTGACGAGTGCCGGAAGTTGTTGTTTATCTAGGTTTAGCACTACGCATATGCATATTGCTATGCGTAAATATGTTACCATAATCTAACTTCAGGGAAAACGGCGTTGCGATTGTACGTTTTTCTCACCACATTTACTTTCTTGCAAGTTAATTCCAGATACGAGAACATACTATAAAAATTGACTAACGTCATATCAAAGGCCAGAAGAACAAAACACGTCATCATGGTGACGTCACAATCCTCGATTGTTGTTTCTATCGGATGTTGATATGTGTGATGGACATATCTGAGTACACACTGAATCACACGTACATCATTAACATATCTGATATAAGCACTTTAATACCATAAATAATCATTGATGTGTATTTTTAATTCGTTAGGTTCGCTTATTATACCCACCACGTTATAAAGAATGTGATATTGCATTACTCTCAGATTCCCAAGTTACAACACTGTCGTACTAGATCAAATATGCTATCTATCACTCGTAATGAAATTCCAAATAAAATGATTTAATACCCGTATATCAATGTATTTTCCATGCATATATGGATACGTTTTTCACATGTTTACTAAGAGCGAGGCATATCTATTCGATTCCACGATTCAGAGTAAACCAAGATACTAATATAATAATAACACGTGAATCAATACTGGCATGTACTTATTGATTTCGTACGTGGTGTTGATTTCATTGAAGATAATGTCCCTGCTTCTGAATTCATTTTGTTTTTATAGTCCATGTAATCTATCAATTCGTTCTATCCTTCGTATACATGGTAATTCTTGCATACATTTTATATATCAGAATAAATGTGTGGGATGTATCGTGACCAGGTGGAATATACCAATATAGAGTAATAATTACATAGATTTCAAAGTAAATTATTAAATATCTGATGGATAGGAAAACACGTCAGCTCCATTCTTAAACGAGTGTTAGTTTATGTATGATATTGTATAATAAGTAGTCAATGCCAACAGTGAGACAGACTTCCCGGGTGTGTTTGAATAAGCATCACCATTACTGACAAGGTATCAACATTGCTGTAAGGGAATAGTTATTTATTTCTCGGCTTTTAGAGAACAGTAAATGTCTTGATCATCAGTGCTGAGATAAAAACAATTTATCAACGTAGTGGTTTATTCTTATTTATTTTGGAAGACATCACAATGCAATAGAACACAATAACACATATACCGAATAATACGATTCTCTCACAATTTGTATAACGGTTTCGTTCTCTGTCCGAAGCTTTCCGTGCATTTGTTTGCTGTTGATTCATTTCGTCTTGGTACTCAGGCAGTTATTATTGAAGATATTAATTTCAATTCATCGTTAACGCCTATTCCCGTTTGGTGTTCAAGCTGTGTATATTGAAAGATGACTGTTCGAATGATGTCAGATCAACAAATCTGTGTCCTAGTATAAGCATATGAAGAAGCATTCACTGTTCTAGTCGGTGATGGCACTATTGTTTCTGCTTTCCGTATAAAGCGGACAGTCATAGTTATACTTGATCGTGTTTCATAGGTCGATATACGGGGGTGACTCACAATGTACGAATTAATTGTATAGACTATTTCAGGTACAGATGCGAGGGACAGGTGCAAATAAATTATGCACAACGATGGACAATGTACGCATACGTAGAATCAAACACACGTCAAACCAACAAAGTAATAACTATTATGGCTGACAATTTAATGTAATCAATATAGATCAAAGTTATGGTACGTTAAACAAATCTCTAACAACAATACAATTTGTTACAATAAACTCAAACCTTGAACTGGAATATCTCGTGGTGTGTGCGATGTCACGTTGCCAGGTGTGCTTCAGTCTTTCAACATTTACCATCGTGGTTTATGTAGGCATCGACTGGTCGACTCTCGACGTAATCTTTTACGGAATAATGCTCGCCCAATGCCTTCACAGATGCATGTACAAACCATACATCCTCCAGGGGCTTAGTTCAAAACAAACATGCACCACAAAAGTAAATGGAATATCTACCACATGTAACCACGTTTAATTGTTTTTATTTGAGGGAAACGAGGTACCACTTTTTTCCATATTAGTGAACATGGTAGATATATTATTCCTGAAATCTCGTTGGAAACAGATGTATTTTATTAATATGCCCAAAATAATGACAAAAACACATGTTCAATTTACCCAGGATGTTTTTTAGAAATTGTTTCATCATGTGAAATTGGTCCCGACAACGAAATTATAGTGCAGGCAATTCTGAACGTCACCCTGAAAGATGGAATTGGCTACTCAGACTCCTCTGGAACATGTTGGAAAAATGCAAAAGAAAACATGATAGAAATAATGGAGCATCACAATTTAGTAGATATATGGAGAGTTTGCTATCCAAACACATCCGATTTCACCTGGAGAATTGGTCAAGTTATTCAGAGTAGATTAAATTAGTATTTGATCAGTGATTCTCACCGGCAAGATATAAGTTCGTTACAGATTATTCCTTCAGTTGCAATCAATCATTCTGCAGTTACCATGACATTTGAACCAGCAAATATCTCTTTGGCCCATCTTATTGGAAATAAATACAAGCCTTTTGAAAAATGATGAATACATTTCACACCTTAATGACAAATATAAAATGTAATGATTAAATTATACTAGGAAATAACAATAATCATGAGAGTCCACACAAAATAAATACTACTAATGCAATGAATACTGAAGATGACATTTTGTCAATTGCTCTACAATATAATAACAACACGGACATTACTAATGATAAAGAGCAATTGATAAAAATAAATAAAGGCAACAAACATAACTACAGTAAGTAATAATACTGATCAGGAAATACGCATGGAGATACACCCTTGATACGAAATAAGAAATGTATTATAGCATTACTCACCGATACCAGAGTTACAACACTGTCAAATATGCAATCCATCACTCCTAATGAAATTCCCCAAATAATTACCGCATATCGATGCAATAAGCGAGGCATATCTATTCTATTCCACGATTCAGAGAAATATATAGGATGGAAATTCAAAACATTAAGACGATATGATAGGAAGTGATATTGTTGACAAAATAAGTACTATGAATTTGGACTGATTTGAGCATATAATTTAGAACATGTATTTTCTCATAGATATCTACAAAATAAGTACATACATATATATATTTCAGAAGACTATATTGCTCTTAAAATTTCCTTAAATTATTACATATAATGCTTTGTTTTGCTTCAACAACGTTTATTTGATATCTCAATTTGTTTTAATTAATAGTTCAAAAATGGCTTGAAAAAAGTCTTTAGTCAGTATTTGTTTATAAATACAAACCATAACTACTTTGGTGAATCAACAGCATATAAGTTTAAATCATGGAATGCACTTCTATAATTCCAACTCACCTGCAGCTATGAATTGCAAGAGTATGGAGCAAGTTGATTATTACGACATAGGCAAAGCAAGATTTCTCAGAAATGTATATACTATTTTTCTAGGAAATTTGTATTCATAATATTTTGTATCTTTATTTGCAAACAAAAGTCTAAGTATGATTTCATTAAACTTCGTGTTCCAAATGCAAAGTATATTTGTCAACGTAGAGAGGAAGTACTATTAAGTATACGTAAATCAAACTGATTTATTTAAATATATTTAAAGTATATTTGAAGTGCAGTTCAAGTGCAACCCAGCAATGCCTGCCATTGTGGACACAGCCTTCTGTTGAGTTTGATTTTGTCCGTAATTTCACGGGAAAATAAAATCATTAGTATTATCACACACCCAAGCTTCCTGTAAACATACGCATCGCTATAGTTAGCTGTTTAGTAATTTGTCTAGTTTAGTATTGCTCCTGACACTACTCAACAAAACCTGCAGATTAATTCCGTTATCTGCTCCATTACGAGCAATATAATCTACCCATTACACTATATTATAATGTATATCAGTAACAATTGATTTACGTGGTCAGTGAACGATAATCCGATGCTATCCGAATTCCGTGACGCCATCTCGGATCACATACATAACAACCTATACAATATTCTTCTGATATGCCATGCACTATGTACGCCAAGGCCGGGCATTTGTTAGTACGCTATGAATTTGGTCTCCCACATGTAATTCAGAGTACTTTTGTGATAAAGTATTTGTGTGAAAGTGTGGAATCCCAGTTATTGTTTAGATTAATGATTTATCGCCAGTGGTTCTGAACAGTCAGTGCCAACAGATGGTAGAAATTAGATTATGATTTGTAGATGAGAGAAATCGTTTTGCCGAGTACTTTAAATCATAGAACCTTAACCCACCAGCCCCATGTATATTTACATTGACTTGACCAGGCAAGGATTAAATTAAACCTGTCAGTGCACAAGTAGTCAACACCATGAACATCGGGAAGATGTATCGGGCTACGCCCAACTGATGACTAACTTAACAATCTACAACCAAACGTAGACACAGTTCGTTTTCTGTTGAGATGCATGCGTTATTGTTAAATCCGTACACAGAAACGTGGTGTACAACACGCCAGGCAAGTATTAAAACAATTTTATTCAACTATTCAAGTAGCCGTTGCAAACAGTTTGTCTTGGTCATGCACGATGACAGCTGTGTTAATACAAACTATGTTACTAGCACAAATGCAGCTGGTTTACTAAAAACTTTTAATTTGTATTCTACAACTTAGTTTAATCTGTACTCGTACGTGTACATGTTGTTGTTTTCTTGTTGTCATTGTTTCCAAATTTAGCTCTACAGTTGTGCATGTTATTTCCATATTCACATAACTACAGACTGTT